CGTAGCACTTCGCCCCCAAAACATGCACTGAATCACAAAGTCAGCAATCAAGATACCCAGAATGTTATTGAGCTGTCAGCGCTGAACACTGGAGATGTATTGTCCGATATTAAGCCCAAAAGCCCAAAAGACGATCCTTGAATCTCAGCTCCCACCTCACGAGATGCCCTCGGAGACCATTCTGAAATCCGGTGAAATCCCACAACATCCACCCTACCGCTCCGACCTGTGAAAGCCTCCGCCAAACCCTAAACCCCAGACCCCAGACCCCCTAAACCCTAAGCCGCAAACCCTAAACCCTGAACAAACCTTACCCTAAACCCTAAACCCTAAACCTTAAACCCTAAACCTTATACCCTAAACCTTAAACCCTAAAGCCTAAACCCTAAACCCCCAAGGGCTGCCTCGAAGGCCTCCACTCGGCGCCCGGCGGCTGCCAACGACTCGGCGAGTCCCTGAAGCATGAGAGGGATTCTAGGGGCTTCGTGGTGTAAAGTACAGATTACAGGATTTCGGGTCGAGGTTTGGGGTACAAAGTTCAGGGTACATGCAGGATTTGGAGTGCAGGGATTAGGATACAAGGTTTAGGGTTTCGGGCTATGGGTCTCCAAGAGGCTTCTTTGAGGCTTGGAAGGTTTTGGGTAACGCTTCGCACAGCCATGGGGGGTTTGTAGGTCTCCTGCAAGTTTAGGGAGGCATGGTTTTCTGGGGCTTAGGCTTCAGGGTTGAAAAGGATTTAGCGATCTCGACTGACATCTACGGTTATTATGCAGGTTTCACGCGTATAAGATATTCAGGAGTTGCTATGTGGCTTCTCGTTGGGTTTGAAGAGGGAAAGGTTGCAGGCCGTGTTACAAGCTTTAGAGAAGATATTGGCCTGCAAGGGGAACAAACATCGCAAGCCTACCCAATCTAGCGGTGCGAAATCTAAATACCGAACCACTGCACTGCAAACGCAGTAGCCCATCCTGCGACCTCAATAGGCTTCAGCACATCAATGACACCCAGACAAAGGTCAAGTCCATCTTGAGGTCACAACCCGCCTGCATGGCAGAACCATAGAGGGGCGACAGAGTTCCCACCTCTTTGCGACTCTGTGTGCAGAAGGCAAGCCCGCGGCCCCTTGAACGGTTACTGTTTTGTTTTGGAGTTTCGCCTAGAGAGCTTCTGTCGGGATGCGTCGGAAACATAGTGTGCAATCACACACACACAAACATGCATCCTGGAGAGAGGCCTGGTACATTGGTGTCCATCAACCAGAAGAGCAGCCTGCTGAAGCTTGAATTTACCTGCTGCTTCCCTGCTTTACTTAGCAGCAACCCCCAAACTGCTGAGCTGCGGGCAAGCTTTTCGAAGGAAACTGTTGCCACTTCGTACCTGACGCAATGCATTGTGCTTGATGGTTTTCTGTCGTCTTTGGAAGCTGGGCTGCACGGATAGAGAGTTTTGTTGAGGTCCAGACGGAAAGTGCAGCACTCGGATTCAAGCTGTGCACCTCCTGTTTTCCGAGCCGGTGCAAAGGCACAGGAATCTCGGGGGGCTCTCATGGCCTCCTATGTAACAAGACAAAGCCAAACCGGGGGGGGGGGGGGGGGGNNGGGGGGCGGTCACGTTCTGATGATGATTGCTGAGGATGATAATAACGACGATGGACCAATGTAGGCATGACAATGAAGAGGACGAGCAAAAAAACGCTTATCGCTGGGGCTGATCACCGCAATCATCCGTATCATACCAGGACCACCACCACCAACAACACCACCACCATCATCGTTGTAAATCTTGGTGTCCATCGTGATCATGACAATGGTGCTGAAAAAGGTCAGTATCCTAGAACCCGCTTCAGCAGGTGACCTCCACACCTATGTCTTCATCTGCATATCCAGACACCCACACACGCATTCGAAGTCTGTTTCTCTTTCATCTTTGCGCCAGACTGCAAAACCAAACTCCATCAAGCAAGCCAGGCCTCTCGATGGCTTCTGCAACCATGCCCTCATTCAGATAGCCTGAGTCCGGCACGCGACGGTCCCTATAGCTGATAGCTGCTCGTGGACAGACGAACGAGAAGCTGAGACCTTCTGTGTTGCAAGTGGTGCAGATCCTTCATGCTATGCGTTGGATTGTTTTGCTGCACTCTTTTGGTAGAGCTGGTAGATGCAAGACTGATCTTGACTTCCACAAGATAAGACAAGCGAGGGATTTCGAGACTCAGGGTCTGAGTTCCACCGCTTGCAGGCAGAGCAGAGTTTTGGCGAGCTCCAGGCAGCTAAGATTCAGCGACCCGGTCTCGTCAATAGCAGTTTTCAGCAGCCAGGCGACAGTCAGCCAGTGATTGCTGGACCTTTCAAGGATTTAAAACACTGCAGTCTGAACGCCCACTGGCCATCGGATCGGCTAACATTTGCCACTGGGAATTCTCTCCTAGCAATGCTGAGCTACGGATTTGAAGACCAGATTGCGCCATGGTGCCTGGAGTGCGACCAGTACATCAACATTTAAAGGCTTCCCAAGCATTGCCATGTCGGGCGAAAGGAAGTTTGTCTCCTTTCCGATTGCTGGTTTGCACCATTTGCTGACGGCTTGCGATGCATCCGCCCGAGACCAACCTTCAACTGAAGTGCGTTGCCTCAGGTTGTGACAATGCCCTGTGGCCTCATGCGACCCCTATCATCGAAGCAGCCTCGGCATTTGACTCATCGCTCCGCAAGACCATGGCAAATAGAAGCAAATCAAGATAAGTGACACGACGTCCCTACCGCTGGTGATCCCATGCAAATCAGAGCAAACTAGAGTGCCGGCTTGTTTCGCGCCTTTGCCAGCATTACAGCATCGCTCGAGAAGTTCTTCTGCAGCACGGCCAAAAGCATGGCCTTGAGATGGAGGCAGCACCGGCTGGCATGCCCTAATTAGAAACCCACGGCAACATTGTGCATTGCAACGACTCGCAAGACTCTTCAACGACATTCCCCCAACCTGCGACCGCGTGGCAATTGCGGCTGGACCATCGCCTTCCTGCTTGCGCACCACGGCTTGGTGCCACAGGTCCTCGTTGGCTTGCTTTGGGTTTCAGGGGTCTCAGTTAAGGTTCGAAGCTAAGTGATCCAAGATTCAGGCGCTAGGATTCCCCTGGGCTCGCAGGGGCAGATCGTTAGGTTTCCAGTTGACATGATTTTCCGGAGGCTCGCAGGCTTCGAATTGGGGGATGTACTGCTGCAACGACAGAACCTATCCATAGTGCGTAGAACTTCTCCAATAAGCACGCATCGAGATGGACAGTTTCATTAGCAAGTGAGACGTTTCCACCAATAGCATTCAAACAATAATTCTAATACCAGTACTAACTATCGTGTGTTGCATTGCTCTGCGAGGTCCTCTGCATCTGGCTCATTGTCTGTCAATCTGGTGGCCTCCTGCGCCAACGTCTCGGCCACTAGCGGTGACAGCGAGGAGAAGAAGAGAGGACTACTATAATAGCCTCAAGATCAAGAAGAGTGGTGGTGGTGGTGGTGGTGGTGGTGGTGGTGGTGGTGGTGGTGGTGGTGGTGGTGGTGGTGGTGCTGGTGCTGGTGCTGCTGCTGCTGCTGCTG